CAGCAGTCTTTGTTCTTTTCACATCCTCTCCTCCCCGCTTCTGTCCCTCTATTCCGTTCCCATTTGCAAAATACCTGTCCCTCTGTTTCCTGTTATCTATCTTTTCTTTTTCTTTTTCAATCATCTGTACTTTGGTTTCTCACGCAAGAACCACGGCACACCCACAGGAAAGTATGCGGCGTGAGTGGATGGTCACGTGGACTAGTCTAAGGCAAGAACCCCTTGTGCCTTGAGTGTCCCAAGGTTCACGTGTGAGGTCTGGTCCCTATCATGAGGAAGTGAGTGGTGCAAACCTCAGCGGACTGTGGTGTTGGGGGGTCGCTAGGAAGCCTGAGGATGAGACGATCAGGGGGCCGCCCGGGAGTGGGTCTAGCTGGATTTGTCAGAAATGGGACAGAGCGCAACAGGCACATGTGTGCTTCCTGTCTCTTCCTGGGGGATGCCCTAGGCGGCCATGCCACTCCGCCATGACCAGTGTGGCCCTTTGACCTTCCACCAGAACTGTGAGCAAAATAATCCCTTTTTTTGGTTTCTAAGTACTCTGCCTCTCATATTTTATTGAAGTGACACAACAGGATAACGCAGGGTCTCATAGCCACAGCTCCCGGCACCTCAAGCATATCTTCCCAAAATAAGAGGCTCCTGCTCTTTTTAGTGTCGTGTGAGCACACATCCCTAATCACCACGCCTCACATTCCCCTACATGTTTAAAAATGCACATCCGATGCTCTCGCTGAGCTGTAGAAAATGTCAGTGTTTATGTCTTTGGACACAGGTTCCATGCTGATCTCTTTCTACCTCCCTTAGCAATAGCGGTGCAAGGAGCCAGGCCCTTTGTCCTTCCGGGACTTCACAGACTACCTTTTGCTAATTGTACTCCTAATACAGCTAGACACGTTCTCTGCTGTCTGTATTTCCTATAATTTTGTAGTTGGATCTAAAGCATCTTTCTTAGTTGTGCTACTTCCTTGCTGATGAAACCACAGCTTCCCTGTGCTCTTCTGGTGGCTCCCACGTGGGGAGCGTAACTCCTGAATGGGGGTGGGCTTTGCCCAAGTGGGGAAAGAGAGTGTCCTCAATGCTCCCAACTCACCACGCTGGGTTGGGGCTCCACCCCCAGGAAGTGTCCTCACGCCCATGCCTACAGCAGCCACGTTCCCTCCCCCACATTCCGCACACATTAAGTGGACCTGGCCCAGGAAAGTCGGGGTTTTCGCTCCAGGAAGGGGATGCTGCTGGATTCTCCAGCTGGGAAGGAGGGGACCACATGGGCCTTCAGGCAGGAGGCAGACAGCATCTAACACGGAAGCAGGCGGAGGATCAGGTGGGCTCTGAGGCTGGGGAGCGCCCCAGTGGAGGGGTGCAGCCGACAAAGCAAAACTCGTGTGGTCACCCAGAGCCTCCAAAGCTGACCCTGGCCTGCCACCGCCCGACGTTAGCCCGGGGAGCTCAGGGTTGATTTCTGACCCGGAGGATGGCCGAATCTTGCTTTGTGGCGTGCAGGCCCCTAAGTTGGTGGTGATTTGCTGTGCAGCAATAGGAAACCAGCCCTGTGAGGCCTGGCTCTGACTGGGCAGCAGGACATGGCTCCCTCCAAGTCTGTGCCAGGACCCTGCCCTCACCGGGCCATGCCTGACCCGCCACAGACCTTAGAAGGGCTTCACATAATCAGCGAGAAATGGGAAAGAGTCCACAACCTTGTTAAGAATTCAACATCAAATGAGTGGTCATCTTCGTTGCATGGCTCAGACACGTTGTAAGCCAATATGTAAAAGAGATCACGAGGGAAAAGACAGCTACTTTGTTCACTGAGGCAACTTTGAGGCCTTTGAACCTGTTTCCTTGGGTAGGTGGTGAGGGTTAGCAATGTGCTTGACAAACTGCTGAGCTTAACGTTCACTGTGTTCACTGGGTTGCCTTGGGAGTCACCCCGGGGATCACTGGAGCACATTTCTCCGGTGTCTGGGCGGGTCACGGAGGTGTGGTCTGGGGTCTGTATTGGTTCCTGGCCTCCTGCTCTCTGGCTCTGCTTCCTGGCTGTCATGCATTCAGCTGCTCCACCACGCCCTTCCACCACGGTGCTCCTGCCTTGGAGCCAGCTGACCATGGGCTGAGTCCCTTGAAACCATAAGCCAGTCCTTTAAACTGTGTGTGACAGGTTTTGTGTCACAACAGAAAGCGAATACACAAAAGGATGAACAGAATGAACGGCAGCCGTCAATAACTACAGCACTCATAAACAGTCACAACACAAGTCCCTTACCCAAGTGCTAGGGACCGAAAGAATTCAGGAATTTAGGTTTCCAAATTTTGTAATATTTGCAAATACATAATGAAATTTTGTAAGTGTGGGACCCCAGGTTAACCACAAAATTCACTTCTGTCCCATGTACACCTTACCCACAGAGCCTAAAGGTCATCTCATGTAATACTTTCGGAGCATCTGTGTTTTTGACTGTGACTTGTTCCTTGAAGTCAGGTGTGGGATTTCCTACTTCTGGTGTCAGGTTGGTGCTGGGCAAGTTTTGAACTTTAAAGTCTTTCAGATTTTGGATTTTCAGAATAAGGATGTTCAACTTGTAGTACCTAATTAAACATGTTTGTATTAGATGTTGTTATTCCTAAATAGTTGAATTTTACCCCATACTTTTCCTTCAAGAAGAATTAACTTCCAACTTCACAATGTCAGCAATGCTCTGGTGAGTTCAAAGAGATCACCCAGGCCTTTCATCAGGGGCCATCGTGAACTATCACATGGGCAGGAATTGCTAGAAAGCAAGGCACTTTTTGGCTGTGCGCCCCGTGGATGCTCAGAGAAGAGGAGCTTCCAGGAAGGAAGGAAGGGTTGCTCGCTGAGGCGGAGGGAGAGATGCTGTGTGGTCGGGAGTGCAGAGCCTGCTCCAGCTCCAGCTCCGTGGGACCAGCGCTCAGTCCCGGCCCACTTCCTGTTGAAGTTCTCCAGCACACTGACAGCACGCGGCACTGCCATCAGCCAAGCGCCAAAGGGTCACAACACAGCACCCGCAAAGCAGGCGTCCCTGCTCTGAAGGGAAGAACATGAGCACAGCTCAGCAGCGTGTTAGGTGGGCATTGCTTTATATCTGAGAAGTTCTCCCTCCTGAAATGTGTCAATGAATAACCAGACTTTGACTAACCACAGCCCTCATTCAGTGGAAACCTTAAGGCTTCACCTAGAGGCGGAAAAGCAAAGAAACAAGTGAATTTTGCTAACTTTTAAGGCAGTTTGAAGCAAATTCCACTCTACTTGCTGCATGCTTAGCCCCGAAGGACGAGGTGTATAGGACCCACCCCAACCTCAGAACTTCGAAAAGGACCCCTTTCCTTCCTAACCTGCGCTGCCCGAGAAAGGATCTCAGGGTGCCGTGCACATGCTTGATTTCAACTGCGTTCCAGCACAAGGGACTTTCTGGTTAATCTTTAATCAACAAGAAAATGTCACTCACCAGAACCCCTCCCTCCCGAGGCGCTGGGAGGAGCTGGGGTGACGGCGGTTGGTTCTGGTTGTGAACAGATAAAGTCCCTCTGGCTGCCTTAGGTGGCACAGGAGGATCCGCGGCAGGTCACCAAGGATCACCAACGGGCGCACGGTGCAGGGACCCGAGGGGTGGTGGCCGCTGCAGGGACTCCTGCGGCCTTTGCAGCACCCTCTGGTCCCTGTCACCCTCTCTGTCCCCTGACAATTCCTGGTGCTGCTTCTCACAACGCTGGGGAGGGGGAAAGAGGAGCCCTCTTCCCCCGAGGTCCCTTAACCCCTTGCAGCATGGAACTCTAAGTTAGACTCGTTTGCGTAGAGACAGTGGCTTCTCCACGCCTCCGGAGTCCAGGGCCCAGGGCACAGCAGCCCATTGCGCGTCAGCCCAGAGGGACAGACAAGTCCAGTTTCGTTCCCCTGGGCAAGGAGGAAAGGCTGGTCCAGGCAGGACTGGAAGGCCCTGGGTAGGTCTCCCTGGCCATTGCGGGCCCTCCCCCACTGTCCCTTGCTATAGAAGACCTGGATGTGGCAGATGATGTTTCGCAGCAAGTAGGCCCCTCTACCTCCTGGGGGCCAGCTTTGAATAAATTCTTTCCCTTTTTACCAAAATAAATGGCCTCCTTTGCTTTGGTCAGTAGAGAGCACACAAATCGGAGTGCGTGAATCTAAGCACCCTCGGAGAGTCAGACCTGGGCGTCCCTAGAATGCACACAGGCCTGGACATCAGGCCACCAAAGAGCGGCAGCTCTGCCTGGGTACCCTGGCCATTCTAGTGCCGCCACCATCCCTAGAGCCAAAGGTTTCTCCCCATTCCCAGGACGTGGGTGCATGTCACACTCCGCCTTCCTCTGTGCGCTGGTTTTATCCCTTAGTCTTTCCTCAGTTTCCCCGAAACCCTCGTCAGGTCCGTGCTCTGCTCTGGGCTGGGCTGGCACTGGGGCCGCTCCCTGGAGTGCAGCCCGGCCTCCAGCGGGGCTGGGTGACGCTTCATTGAATGGCGGGCGAAGACCCAGGTCACTGCAAAGCTGATCTGTTTACTGTGCACAGCCCACAACAGATCTGTTCACTCGGCCTGGCTTAATCCTCACAAGTCTCCGCACGAGTACAATCACACTCAGCGCCCCGCATCTGCGGTTCCACATCTGTGAGCTCATCCAACCGCAAACGGAAAACACTCTGGAAAAAGTCACATCAGTCCTGAATACGTACAGACCTTTTCCTCGGCCTGACTCCCTACACAGTACAGTGTCACCGCTACTTGCATAGCATTTATGTTGCTCTCGCTTTCTAAACTCTGATATGGATCACGTATGCAGGTTACACGCAAACGCTATGACTTTTACAGAAGGGACTTGATTACCTGTGACACGTGTCTGTGGGGGTGGGAAGTCCTGGGCGTATCCCCCACCAGAGAGGATAGATAAACGACCCCAGGTCACAGGCTCATGCGTCTGAAGGGCTCTAGGGTCGACCGGGACCTCATCCTGCACCTGACCTTGGGTGTCCTTCATGCCTCAGGAGGTCCTGAAGGGTGAGGTAAGGGACACGCGATTCCTTGCTGCTTCTGCACTTCAGCAGGTGGAAACCAGGTGACCTCGGTGGAGTTGGGAAGGAGGTGGGCGGGGCGGGGCGGAGGCAGGAGGCCCCGAAGGGCAAGCTCAGGTTCCACACAGATGGTCTGCTCTTCCGCTACTGGTTGCTGAAGACATTTTAATAGTGAAATGACGGGTGCACTAAGAAAGTAGGATGCACAAATATACACGGTGCACATTTTTAGAGAAAGCAGGCTTCAAGGAAGCGGTGTGCTTGGCCTGTGGGTGGGACAGCCGACCCAGCGCTGTGGCTGTGAGCTGACTCTGGACAGGGTCTGTTAGATGCTGCAGGTGGACACTGCGCAGGGAGCATCCTGGCTCAGGGTACGCCGTTAACCCAAAGCCAAGGGTCTTTCCAGAGAGAGGGCACTGGGGGCCAGAGGTGTGAGGACAAAGGCAGGGACAGGATGGTGCCACGAGCCGAAGAACACCTGGAACCACCACGCTGGAAGAGCAGGGAGGTCTCCAGAGCCTTCAGAGGGAGCGGCAACACTTTGACTCAAAGCTGGTGGCTTCCAGAGCTTGAAGCCACCAACTCAGTTTATAAGGTGGCCCCAGGATACTGGTGTGGCCTCACAGGGCTGAATTCGAAAGCAAACGTCCCATCCTTCTGCCACAGGGGGACTTGGAGGAGGCTGTGGGGGGCATGGGGCCCAGGGGATGAGACAGAGGGGTTTTAGGCAGGCCCGGAAGACACTGCTGTCCAGGTGAGCAGGGGGAAGTGGAAGACGCCAGTAACTAAGGGGACTCCTGGGTGGTGGTGGGGCGGGAGCGCAGGGAGCTCTGGAGGCAGTTCAGGTGCCACCCCCAGCTCTTCACTTACCGTTCCAGTTTCCCACCTGGGAAAGGGGATGACGCCACTACGTGAGGCTACGGCCAGTGGGCGCTGAGAATTCAGCCGAGGTTCATCCTCAGTGCGGCCGGGAATGACGTCAACGTAGGGCGCTGTGCTGGAGAGGGAAAGGAAGGCACCCCAGAGGCGGTGAAGGAGCTCTCGGACTCGGCATCCTGGGGCAGAGTGAACCCGCTCTGGGGGCGTCCGGGGCCCTGTGCTCCCTTCTCTTAGGGGCTTGCTCAGTGGGAAGGAAAGGGTCAAGACGGCAAGGGGATTTTTCTGGGAGCCGAGGTGGCCTAGCAGAGACCGGAAGAAGAGCTGGCTTGGAAAGGAATTGGTTTCATTTGCACAGAGCGACCTCGGAGAGACCCTGAGGCAGACAGGTCGGGGCTCCAGAGAGGACAGCTGCCAGGCTGGAAGTGAATCAGAGGGAGCCTGGGCCAGGAGCAAGCAAAACACGAACCATTCTTAAAACACAAAGAACAGAAAAAGCAACTGAAGCGCACTTCGGAGGAAACATGGAGGGCCACCTCTGGCTTGGGAGCGCTGCTCCGGAGGCTGGGAAGACAGCTCACCCTCCAAGGAAGCAGCGCGGGGGTGGGGTGCGGTGGGGGTGTCAGAACTGTGAGGGCCTCTGCCGAACCGTCTCCGAGAGACCAAGGGATGGCAGAGTGCTAATGGCTAGGGAAGTGCCGCACACACAGAACTCTGGGAAGGGCAGGCGCTGAGAACTGGCTGCTGGGCTGTAGGATGTTGGTGACAACTGTGCCGAGGCTAGAGCAGGAAGAGAGGCGTGAGAACTGCGACTCCAAGGAAGTTTACAGAGCTCGGATGTAAAAACCTGGGTCAATGAAGTTACGCATTTGTGTGTGCGTGCGTGTGCGTGGTACTGGGATCAAACTAAGGGCCTTTCACTGAGCTACATCCCCAACCCTTTTAATTTTTAATGTTAAGACAGGGTTTCATTAAGTCACCAAGTTGCCCAGGCGAGGCTCGAACTTGCAATCCTCCTGCCTCAGCCTCCCGGAGTGCTGAGATCACAGGTATTCACCACCCTGCCTACCTTGTTACACCTCTTTTGAATACAGCAATTTAAAATTGGGCCGGATTATAGATTCGGATCCTGTTTCCTTATTCTAAAGGTAGGTATTATGAAGGTCGGGTTTACACAGATGGACGCACGGAGGTAGTTGTTGCCCAAGGTCAAGGCAGCGGAGGAGGTGGCCATAGCCCCATTCTTGAACCCGGCCCTTCTGTCTGCTTCCACATGCACAGCCAGGCAGGGCCACCTTCTGCCAGGCGGTGCCAGGCGCTCTACACGGGAGGCGGCAAACAGCATCTGCTCACTCGGTAATACGGGAAGGTTAAGCAACACCCGTCCACGGCCGCGCGGCTCAGGCGCCCACAGCCACGCGTCCGCGGACTACCAGCCGCACCGCGGCTACCGGGACTTCCCGGGGAGACGGCAGGAGGAGTGACCCTGCGGGGCTGCCTCGCTGTCCGGCGTGGAGCACCCCTGCTTCAACAACCAGAAGCCAGGGGCCGGGGAGGCACCCTCAGCGGCAGGGCCGCCCGCAGCGCACCAGGACAGCAGCGCCCCGGGGCGTCCGGGTCCCCCGGAAACGGCGGGGCGGGCGGCGGCGAGAAAGCCCGGGCTCGCGGCCCGAGAC